TGGGGGACCTCCTGGGGCCCCCTTTGAGGGATGCGGGGATAGTTTGGGGCCAGTTTGGCGCCCAGAGAGTGCACGCGATCCCCCCCAGGAATCCCAACAAAAACCCCAGGAGAGCTTGGGAAACCGAAGGTCGGGACCCTTGAACACCTTGAAGTGATTCGCTTTTGAGTATTATCACCTGGTGTGTCTTGGGTACTCCACGTCGTGCTGAAAGCACGGTGGCGGAGGTCTGCGCAGTCTAGAAACTAAGCACGGTACTGCAATATTCTCGCACTCCTGGAAGCCAGGCACGGAGCGTCAAGGCACGACCGTGCTTTCGTGTTCGGATATGTATCATGATGAATGTTCGTATCGTTTCGCGTTCGAGAAGGATTACAAGGTAAGTAGACGTGTTTACAAACATGTGGGAATGAACCAATGATCTTTCGATGAACAAACCTGTCAAATGTTCTGTGCGCGCGCTTCCTTGTCACCAGTGTCAGCACTATCGCCATCATCATCGTAAGCGTCGTGACACCGTCATCATCACCGTCACCACGTTCATCACCATCACCATCAGTACCGTTATCACCACTACCGTTGTCATCATCATTGTCATAGTTATTGTCGTCACACGCGTAGACAGATGGACCCAAACTGAAAAGCTGTGCAACGTGGATGTGAAGGTTGCGTAGTGCAAGCTACGTGGTGCAAGATCTTTGATGCAAACTATGTGGTGCAAGTTTTATCATGCATCGAAGCGCCACGCAGCGCCTGAGACGCCCACGCGCTCCCAGCAGCTGCGAACTCACAACGCCTGGCGCCCACCGGGCAAAACCCCAGAATGCCCAGCCAGCTCTGCATTACCCCAATGAGAACGTGTTTATGCAGGCATTGTCTGTGAAACGGTACGAACCTCAGGCATCACGATGCGGACCGGAAGAGGTATACGATGCAAGAGAGACCAGAACAATCTATCGAGTCGCCTTCGGTCCACGCTTGCGTGTCATCGGCAGGCTGCCGCTGGGCCGTTGTGGACAAATTTGGTCATGAGGTGTTGTCCTAGTGTCGCATCGGTGTCCTGGCGTTTTGGCGGGCCCTCTTGGGCTTTATCCAGCCGTCATCACGCCTGCGAAGGCGATTTTTGTCAGAAATTTGCGATACTTGACAGTGGAGTCCTACGGAGGTCGGTCATCCAAGGCTTCTTTGTGTGCCTATTCTCTTTTTGGGGGGCTCTTGAACTGTTCGGGGGACTTTTTGATTTGGCCTGTCTGGCGGAGTCACGTGCCTCTTTTGGGCCATCCAAGCAGCAATGCGGCGTTCTCTTGGGCCGCCATTGGCCTGTCCGACCAAATTCGGGACCCCGCGCACTCCACGAATTGTCCCGAGGCCTTTAAATTGGGTCCAGGATCGGGATACATTGTTCCACGGCGCTCTGAAATGCTTCGAGAAGGCCGCGGCGCCCGATGCATCGCTCAGAACCGCCAGATCTCGGAGATCCCCGATTTTTGCCAGGGTACGATATTGTCCCGACGTTGCTTCAGTTTTACCCCAAAACCTTGTGTAGAGATGGCGAACCTGGAACCCTTTACAGTGGAATGACAATAGTGCCCATATGGGGCCCTAATACGCGCCCAGAATGAGACGTTCCAAGAGGGCCCCCTTGGAGGGGCTCCAGACGGCCCAAGAAGGCCCCCAAACAGCTCAACAGGGCTCCCTGACCGCCCCAGAACAGCCCCAAGAGGCTCCAAGAATTGCCCAGAGGAACCAAGACGGCCCCAGAGGCCCCAAGAGGGCCCAGGAGGCCCCCAAGACAGCTCGCAAGAGGCCTCAGGAATCCCCGAAGAAGGCCCACTCGGGACCCTGCATTCGTGCGGCGACGGTCAGAAACATAACATGTCTGCCTGTCGGTATGTTCGTCTGCATCTACGTGCGTATGAACGAATGAACGAATGAATGGATGGATGGATGGATGGATGTATGTACACACAATATTTATACATGCGTACTGATGTGTTGCAACATGTTGTGAGACCCCTGACATGAAATCCTCGACCCCTTCCCCGGGACCAATTTCTCGTCCCAGATCGTCGTCTGATGGTCCAGAAGGCCCGACGTGGGCTTCCGGGCGTCGAAGTCTTGCTGAATGACTTGAGGTGCCGATTCCCTAAGGCGTCGGGGGTCTGGGTACGGCCGTCGTGCTGGCGCTGAACAGGAAACGGAAGCTTGTCTGGCCGCCGCGAGCCTCGGCTTCGAATGGGCCCCCCGACTTAGTTCTAAGGAACGGCCTGAACACCAGAGCCCAATCTGAACCCGACGTGGTCCTTATCTCAGCGTGAACTGATTGTTGTCCATCCGTCACGACGATGCAACTCGGCGACTTAGGTGGGAAGCCCCTGCGTCTGCCGCGTCAACCGCGCTGCCGGAGGAGCGCAACGCCGAAGGCGCGCGGGGATGCATGGCGCGGCAGAGGCGGGGGGACGAGGCAGGAACGATGGCTGCGGCGCAGTCGAACTGACTGCTGGCGCTGGGAGGCCACGCAGTTTGTCCTGGCAGGCCGCCGCCAGCAGGCCGCCGCCAGCAATAGCAGCACCGCGCGCCTGTCCTACAGAGCCGCGGCGGGCAAACGCACGCGCGGAGCACGAAGAGACAAGAACGGCCCAGTCACGCAGGCGACGGCGTCACCTAAAACTGGTGGGAAATTGGTAATCCACGATGAACTCTGGAAAAGCCTGGTCGCTGCGCGCGACGAGCTCCGAATTGATTTGCTGCTTTTTGGTCTTCGGATTTGGTATGCCAGGTTGCGCGACGGCGCTGTCATGCATCATTTGGCGGGCACTTCGCGTTGAGGCGCGGCGATTTGGCCATGTGCGGATGGCCCGGCAGGACGCGCGCCACGACCAGACATCCATCTCCCGCTGCCATGGCGCACGGCCCGGCCAGGGTCCGACGTGAAATGAGCGCCGCAGCCGTGATTATTGAAGCGGTCGTGGAGGCCCGGTTTCGCGGTCTTCTCAGAGTTCGCCTGAGACGTGCCGTGCAGAAGGAGGGCCTCGTCGGCTTGGTCGTTGGCCTGGACTTGGTCGAGAAGCCCTTGCAGTTTCAGGGCGGGCTCCGCCACGTCGCGGAGCCACGGGCAGTTCCTGCGGCGGTGAGGTTGCTGGGCAATCTGCGCGGCCCTCGCGACGTACTTCTGCCACTGGGGAAGGTTCTCGACCCGTCGAACGCGCGTCACCGAACGCACCGTCCGCCGGCCCAGCGCGGTACTGGCATGGGCCATCTCGGAGTGATCCTGCGCGCCTCTTTGGCCGTCTCGAGCGCTATGGAAACCAAGAAGCCGAGCATGCGAAACCAGCACCGAAACCTCAAGAAACCCTATAGTTGTTGCTTCGTGGGGGCCTCTTGGGAGTCGTATTCGAGCCCCCGTTGGGCCATCTTTGGAGCCCGTTGGGCCGTCGAGTGGCCATTTGGGGCCCATCTTGGGCCATCTTTATTTTTATAGGTTGATAGATAGATGTGTAGATGTGCGCGACGATAGGAGCGTTGAAGAAACTACCTCAGAACCCAGAACCATCGCAAATCGACCGCCCCCCCCCTCCCAACCTCCTTATCACCCATAGGGAGGTCCTATCGGTATACCCTCAGTCGGCCCTGAGCCGACGTGAGGACCTGTTGCTCTGCGTGGGTAATGGGTCTCCCACTGGCGTACTGCTACGCCCCTTGAACGCCTCACCCATCAGCCGCCTTGGTGCCTGCGTAGACCGCTTCCTGGCTACCCACCCAGACCTGATGAGGCGTTCGATGGGAATGACGAGGGCGATGTGGAGGATGCGGATGCAGTCGATGATGATAAGTACGTGGGAAGGGGGAAGCATCCAACGCGCAGGCACGCAGTGTTGGTAGCGAGGCTTCTTTCTCGGTGGCGTCTCTTTTGGCACTCGCCGGCCGGATTTGTCGTAATCTGTGGCCGCGCCTTCTGAAGCGTCACACGCCGTAGGAGCCGTTTCACCCTGTTCGTTTCTCGCTGGAAGTGTGGGTTGGAGCGCGACGAACAAATTGGTCATGAAACGTTGGTAATGATCGGCGGCGAACCCGGGGGGAAGTGAGAAGGGGCGGGCCTCAGAAGGCTCTGACGTTCCCCGGCTTTGAGAATGTTCTGAGCACTCCGGGAAGACAGAAACACCTCTCAGAAAGCACGAGGGTTTCCGAGAAGTCCCGCCACCTTCTGA